CCATCACGGATTTATCATCGACTCTAATCTGCAGTTGAATCAACTTAATTAAAATACCCTAACTTTCTACAGGACCTTCTCCTTGTTGAGCCTGCTTCATTATAGTGTCTTAGTGATGAATAATAAAAGTTCTATTCAAGTTTGAAAATTCGTCATTTAATTCCACTATTAAATTTGAAAACCTCACTATTAAGTGGATCTTAGTAACTGTATCTATGACAATAATATATATATATATATATATATATATATATATATATATATATATATATATATATATATATATATATATATATATATATATATATATAAACATTTATTATGCAAATTTATTTGGCATGCAGCGTTTGGGTCAGAGTAATGGAAAGGAAGCAATGGCATTCTAGCATACGGTGAAGAGGGTGGTAAGGGTAAGGGGGGGGGGCATAACCACCTGTACAAAATATGATTTGGTGTATTCCATTCTATGTTTAGACCTAAGACAGACGCTGCTCAATTGGCTGCTTGGCTGGTTGAGGGGACGGGGCGAGCTGTAGGACGGGGCAGGTGTAGGCCCATCTTCACTCCCACTCAGCTGTAGGCCCATCTTCACTCCCACTCAGGTGTAGGCCCATCTTCACTCCCACTCAGGTGTAGGCCCATCTTCACTCCCACTCAGGTGTAGGCCCATCTTCACACACCTACTCAGTCAGGTGTAGGCCCATCTTCACACACCTACTCAGTCAGGTGTAGGCCCATCTTCACACACCTACTCAGTTAGGTGTAGGCCCATCTTCACACCCACTCAGTCAGGTGTAGGCCCATCTTCACTCCCACTCAGGTGTAGGCCCATCTTCACTCCCACAGGTGTAGGCCCATCTTCACACCCACTCAGTCAGGTGTAGGCCCATGTTTACTCCCACTCAGGTGTAGGCCCATCTTCACACCCACTCAGGTGTAGGCCCATCTTCACACTCACTCAGTCAGGTGTAGGCCCATCTTCACTCCCACTCAGGTGTAGGCCCATCTTCACACTCAGGTGTAGGCCCATCTTCACTCCCACTCAGGTGTAGGCCCATCTTCACACTCAGGTGTAGGCCCATCTTCACTCCCACTCAGGTGTAGGCCCATCTTCACACCCTCTCAGGTGTAGGCCCATCTTCACTCCCACTCAGGTGTAGGCCCATCTTCACTCCCACTCAGGTGTAGGCCCATCTTCACACCCTCTCAGGTGTAGGACCATCTTCACTCCCACTCAGGTGTAGGCCCATCTTCACTCCCACTCAGGTGTAGGCCCATCTTCACTCCCACTCAGGTGTAGGCCCATCTTCACTCCCACTCAGGTGTAGGACCATCTTCACTCCCACTCAGGTGTAGGCACATCTTCACTCCCACTCAGGTGTAGGACCATCTTCACTCCCACTCAGGTGTAGGCCCATCTTCACTCCCACTCAGGTGTAGGACCATCTTCACTCCCACTCAGGTGTAGGCCCATCTTCACACCCACTCAGGTGTAGGCCCATCTTCACTCCCACTCAGGTGTAGGACCATCTTCACTCCCACTCAGGTGTAGGCCCATCTTCACTCCCACTCAGGTGTAGGCCCATCTTCACACCCACTCAGGTGTAGGCCCATCTTCACTCCCACTCAGGTGTAGGCCCATCTTCACTCCCACTCAGGTGTAGGCCCATCTTCACTCCCACTCAGGTGTAGGCCCATCTTCACTCCCACTCAGGTGTAGGCCCATCTTCACTCCCACTCAGGTGTAGGCCCATCTTCACTCCCACTCAGGTGTAGGCCCATCTTCACACACCTACTCAGTCAGGTGTAGGCCCATCTTCACACACCTACTCAGTCAGGTGTAGGCCCATCTTCACACACCTACTCAGTTAGGTGTAGGCCCATCTTCACACCCACTCAGTCAGGTGTAGGCCCATCTTCACTCCCACTCAGGTGTAGGCCCATCTTCACTCCCACAGGTGTAGGCCCATCTTCACACCCACTCAGTCAGGTGTAGGCCCATGTTTACTCCCACTCAGGTGTAGGCCCATCTTCACACCCACTCAGGTGTAGGCCCATCTTCACACTCACTCAGTCAGGTGTAGGCCCATCTTCACTCCCACTCAGGTGTAGGCCCATCTTCACACTCAGGTGTAGGCCCATCTTCACTCCCACTCAGGTGTAGGCCCATCTTCACACTCAGGTGTAGGCCCATCTTCACTCCCACTCAGGTGTAGGCCCATCTTCACACCCTCTCAGGTGTAGGCCCATCTTCACTCCCACTCAGGTGTAGGCCCATCTTCACTCCCACTCAGGTGTAGGCCCATCTTCACACCCTCTCAGGTGTAGGCCCATCTTCACTCCCACTCAGGTGTAGGCCCATCTTCACTCCCACTCAGGTGTAGGCCCATCTTCACTCCCACTCAGGTGTAGGCCCATCTTCACTCCCACTCAGGTGTAGGCCCATCTTCACTCCCACTCAGGTGTAGGACCATCTTCACTCCCACTCAGGTGTAGGCCCATCTTCACTCCCACTCAGGTGTAGGCCCATCTTCACTCCCACTCAGGTGTAGGCCCATCTTCACTCCCACTCAGGTGTAGGACCATCTTCACTCCCACTCAGGTGTAGGCCCATCTTCACACCCACTCAGGTGTAGGCCCATCTTCACTCCCACTCAGGTGTAGGCCCATCTTCACTCCCACTCAGGTGTATGCCCATCTTCACTCCCACTCAGGTGTAGGCCCATCTTCACACCCTCTCAGGTGTAGGCCCATCTTCACTCCCACTCAGGTGTAGGCCCATCTTCACTCCCACTCAGGTGTAGGCCCATCTTCACTCCCACTCAGCTGTAGGCCCATCTTCACTCCCACTCAGGTGTAGGCCCATCTTTACTCCCACTGAGGTGTAGGCCCATCTTCACACACCTACTCAGTCAGGTGTAGGCCCATCTTCACACACCTACTCAGTCAGGTGTAGGCCCATCTTCACACACCTACTCAGTCAGGTGTAGGCCCATCTTCACACACCTACTCAGTCAGGTGTAGGCCCATCTTCACACCCACTCAGTCAGGTGTAGGCCCATCTTCACTCCCACTCAGGTGTAGGCCCATCTTCACTCCCACAGGTGTAGGCCCATCTTCACACTCAGTCAGGTGTAGGCCCATCTTCACACCCACTCAGTCAGGTGTAGGCCCATGTTTACTCCCACTCAGGTGTAGGCCCATCTTCACACCCACTCAGGTGTAGGCCCATCTTCACACTCACTTAGTCAGGTGTAGGCCCATCTTCACTCCCACTCAGGTGTAGGCCCATCTTCACACTCAGGTGTAGGCCCATCTTCACTCCCACTCAGGTGTAGGCCCATCTTCACACTCAGGTGTAGGCCCATCTTCACTCCCACTCAGGTGTAGGCCCATCTTCACACCCTCTCAGGTGTAGGCCCATCTTCACTCCCACTCAGGTGTAGGCCCATCTTCACTCCCACTCAGGTGTAGGCCCATCTTCACACCCTCTCAGGTGTAGGCCCATCTTCACTCCCACTCAGGTGTAGGCCCATCTTCACTCCCACTCAGGTGTAGGCCCATCTTCACTCCCACTCAGGTGTAGGCCCATCTTCACTCCCACTCAGGTGTAGGACCATCTTCACTCCCACTCGGGTGTAGGCCCATCTTCACTCCCACTCAGGTGTAGGACCATCTTCACTCCCACTCAGGTGTAGGCCCATCTTCACACCCACTCAGGTGTAGGCCCATCTTCACTCCCACTCAGGTGTAGGACCATCTTCACTCCCACTCAGGTGTAGGCCCATCTTCACACCCACTCAGGTGTAGGCCCATCTTCACTCCCACTCAGGTGTAGGCCCATCTTCACTCCCACTCAGGTGTAGGCCCATCTTCACTCCCACTCAGGTGTAGGCCCATCTTCACTCCCACTCAGGTGTAGGCCCATCTTCACTCCCACTCAGGTGTAGGCCCATCTTCACTCCCACTCAGGTGTAGGCCCATCTTCACTCCCACTCAGGTGTAGGCCCATCTTCACTCCCACTCAGGTGTAGGCCCATCTTCACTCCCACTCAGGTGTAGGCCCATCTTCACTCCCACTCAGGTGTAGGCCCATCTTCACACCCACTCAGGTGTAGGCCCATCTTCACACCCACTCAGGTGTAGGCCCATCTTCACACCCACTCAGGTGTAGGCCCATCTTCACACCCACTCAGGTGTAGGCCCATCTTCACACCCACTCAGGTGTAGGCCCATCTTCACTCCCACTCAGGTGTAGGCCCATCTTCACTCCCACTCAGGTGTAGGCCCATCTTCACACCCACTCAGGTGTAGGCCCATCTTCACACCCACTCAGGTGTAGGCCCATCTTCACTCCCACTCAGGTGTAGGCCCATCTTCACACCCACTCAGGTGTAGGCCCATCTTCACTCCCACTCAGGTGTAGGCCCATCTTCACACCCACTCAGGTGTAGGCCCATCTTCACTCCCACTCAGGTGTAGGCCCATCTTCACACCCACTCAGGTGTAGGCCCATCTTCACACCCACTCAGGTGTAGGCCCATCTTCACTCCCACTCAGGTGTAGGCCCATCTTCACACCCACTCAGGTGTAGGCCCATCTTCACACCCACTCAGGTGTAGGCCCATCTTCACTCCCACTCAGGTGTAGGCCCATCTTCACTCCCACTCAGGTGTAGGCCCATCTTCACACCCACTCAGGTGTAGGCCCATCTTCACACCCACTCAGGTGTAGGCCCATCTTCATTCCCACTCAGGTGTAGGACCATCTTCACACTCACTCAGGTGTAGGCCCATCTTCACTCCCACTCAGGTGTAGGACCATCTTCACACTCACTCAGGTGTAGGCCCATCTTCACTCCCACTCAGGTGTAGGACCATCTTCACTCCCACTCATACACCAAATTTTAGTCCCTCACAGTCATCCACCAGTCAATTTCAGGTCATGGCCCTCCTCCAGTACCCTTCAGGTTATGGCCCTCCTCCAGTACCCTTCAGGTCATGGCCCTCCTCCAGTACCCTTCAGGTCATGGCCCTCCTCCAGTACCCTTCAGGTCATGGCCCTCCTCCAGTACCCTTCAGGTCATGGCCCTCCTCCAGTACCCTTCAGGTCATGGCCCTCCTCCAGTACCCTTCAGGTCATGGCCCTCCTCCAGTACCCTTCAGGTCATGGCCCTCCTCCAGTACCCTTCAGGTCATGGCCCTCCTCCAGTACCCTTCAGGTCATGGCCCTCCTCCAGTACCCTTCAGGTCTTGGCCCTCCTCCAGTACCCTTCAGGTCATGGCCCTCCTCCAGTACCCTTCAGGTCATGGCCCTCCTCCAGTACCCTTCAGGTCATGGCCCTCCTCCAGTACCCTTCAGGTCATGGCCCTCCTCCAGTACCCTTCAGGTCATGGCCCTCCTCCAGTACCTTTCTGGTCATGGCCCTCCTCCAGTACCCTTCAGGTCATGGTCTTCCAGTACCCTTCAGGTCATGGCCCTCCTCCAGTACCCTTCAGGTCATGGCCCTCCTCCAGTACCCTTCAGGTCATGGCCCTCCTCCAGTACCCTTCAGGTCATGGCCCTCCTCCAGTACCCTTCAGGTCATGGCCCTCCTCCAGAACCCTTCAGGTCATGGCCCTCCTCCAGTACCCTTCAGGTCATGGCCCTCCTCCAGTACTCTTCAGGTCATGGCCCTCCTCCAGTACCTTTCTGGTCATGGCCCTCCTCCAGTACCCTTCAGGTCATGGTCTTCCAGTACCCTTCAGGTCATGGCCCTCCTCCAGTACCCTTCAGGTCATGGCCCTCCTCCAGTACCTTTCTGGTCATGGCCCTCCTCCAGTACCCTTCAGGTCATGGTCTTCCAGTACCCTTCAGGTCATGGCCCTCCTCCAGTACCCTTCAGGTCATGGCCCTCCTCCAGTACCTTTCTGGTCATGGCCCTCCTCCAGTACCCTTCAGGTCATGGCCCTCCTCCAGTACCCTTCAGGTCATGGCCCTCCTCCAGTACCCTTCAGGTCATGGCCCTCCTCCAGTACCCTTCAGGTCATGGCCCTCCTCCAGTACCCTTCAGGTCATGGCCCTCCTCCAGTACCCTTCAGGTCATGGCCCTCCTCCAGTACCCTTCAGGTCATGGCCCTCCTCCAGTACCCTTCAGGTCATGGCCCTCCTCCAGTACCCTTCAGGTCATGGCCCTCCTCCAGTACCTTTCTGGTCATGGCCCTCCTCCAGTACCCTTCAGGTCATGGTCTTCCAGTACCCTTCAGGTCATGGCCCTCCTCCAGTACCCTTCAGGTCATGGCCCTCCTCCAGTACCTTTCTGGTCATGGCCCTCCTCCAGTACCCTTCAGGTCATGGTATTCCAGTACCCTTCAGTACCCTTCAGGTCATGGCCCTCCTCCAGTACCCTTCAGGTCATGGCCCTCCTCCAGTACCTTTCTGGTCATGGCCCTCCTCCAGTACCCTTCAGGTCATGGCCCTCCTCCAGTACCCTTCAGGTCATGGCCCTCCTCCAGTACCCTTCAGGTCATGGCCCTCATCCAGTACCCTTCAGGTCATGGCCCTCCCCCAGTACCCTTCAGGTCATGGCCCTTATCCAGTATCCTTCAGGTCATGGCCCTCCTCCAGTACCCTTCAGGTCATGGCCCTTATCCAGTATCCTTCAGGACATGGCCCTCCTCCAGTACCCTTCAGGTCATGGCCCTCCTCCAGTACCCTTCAGGACATGGCCCTCCTCCAGTACCCTTCAGGTCATGGCCCTTATCCAGTATCCTTCAGGTCATGGCCCTCCTCCAGTACCCTTCAGGTCATGGTCTTCTAGTACCCTTCAGGTCATGGCCCTCCTCCAGTACCCTTCAGGTCATGGTCTTCCAGTACCCTTCAGGTCATGGCCCTTCGTGATTGTTGATTGTTGACACACGACGACTCCTTACAGGTGATTGTTGTCACACACGAATTCTACTGATACTTTCACAATGCTGCAACATGATGACTGCTGCCACTCACGTGTTGACTGCTGCCACTCACGTGTTGACTGCTGCCACTCTCGTGATGACTGCTGCCACTCATATGATGACTGCTGCCACTCACGTGATGACTGCTGCCACTCACGTGATGACTGCTGCCACTCACGTGATGACTGCTGCCACTCACGTGATGACTGCTGCCACTCACGTGATGACTGCTGCCACTCACGTGATGACTGCTGCCACTCACGTGATGACTGCTGCCACTCACGTGATGACTGCTGCCACTCACGTGATGACTGCTGACACTCACGTGATGACTGCTGCCACTCACGTGATGACTGCTGCCACTCATATGATGACTGCTGCCACTCACGTGATGACTGCTGCCACTCATATGATGACTGCTGCCACTCACGTGATGACTGCTGCCACTCATATGATGACTGCTGTGGAGAGGGAGAGGGGAAGAGTGCAGGCGAGTGGGAAGATGGAGAGAAGGGGAGGGTATAGTAGAAAATATGTGATGGAAGTGGGGTAAGGGGGCAAGAGAGAGGGAGGAGACACAGGAGAGGGGCAAGAGAGAGAGAGGGGAGGAGACACGGGGGGAGAGGGGGCAAGAGAGAGGGAGGAGACACAGTAGAGGGGGAAAGAGAGAGGGAGGAGACACGGGGGAGAGGGGGCAAGAGAGAGGGAGGAGACACGGGGAGAGGGGGCAAGAGAGAGGGAGGAGACACGGGGAGAGGAGGCAAAAGAGAGGGAGGAGACACGGGGAGAGAGGGCAAGAGGGAGGTAGGAGACACGGGGAGAGGGGGCAAGAGGGAGGGAGGAGACACAGGAGAGGGGCAAGAGAGGGGAGGAGACATAGAGAGAGGGGAGAGAGACCCGGACTCATATACCTCCATCTAGTCCCTATAATGCGAGCTCCGTTATTCTACCACCAACGATAATAGAAACTGTTTATTTGATCTTGTTTTTTCAGGAGTAACTATTAAATATAGTCATTGTTAGTCGTGCCGCTAACCTTAGCAACAATTTGAACGGCTATATATGTTGACACTTCACATTCCCGTATTGAGACAAAATTATTTTCACAACAACTCAAACCTAACATTACCACGTCTACTTTATGCAACATCCTCGTGAAACACCTGAAATTAACGCAACTTGTAATACATGAAACATTTTAGCATGTATCGGCGGATAATTTCAACCACTCACATTTTGACAACTGTGTTTTGGAAGCGGTTGTGCGGATCCCATGGTTACACAAACACAATAATAATTGTGAGTGTTTCGTAGAGGCTGAAGGCCAGAGATTGATAGGTTTATTGTCTTAAATAATCGGAGCGTGGCGGAGGATTTGTTTACGAATACTTAATTAAATTTCTTTCTTTATTATGCACCCCATACCGTGGGTGGTGGTGGATTAGGTTACAGAGGCACATAATCGGTTCAAGGAACTGAATCCCCTAGTTCGTTTAGCTAAGCAAATAACAATCTTTTGACGCTAGGTACACAATTATTAATGTGTATATATATGTAACATGTATTATATAAATCATTTACACAAATACATACACGCATCAATAGTCTTTTGTATTATAAGTGATTCAACAAGAGGCTCACAACAGCCACTATGCAAGGGACTTTACATCTGTTGAGTCACACAGTTACTAGTCTTGCTGCACACCCACCCAACTGGGCGGCAGCTTTACAGTCATGTGCTCCACACCCACCCAACTGGGCGGCAGCTTTACAGTCATGTGCTCCACACCCACCCAACTGGGCGGCAGCTTTACAGTCATGTGCTCCACACCCACCCAACTGGGCGGCAGCTTTACAGTCATGTGCTCCACACTCACCCAACTGGGCGGCAGCTTTACAGTCATGTGCTCCACACCTACCCAACTGGGCGGCAGCTTTACAGTCATGTGATCCACACCCACCCAACTGGGCGGCAGCTTTACAGTAATGTCCCCCTCCCCATCCGGCCCGTTGGCGCCGTGAGGGGGGCTTAGTGGACGACTGCCGGAGTGTGATGCTCTGTGGGACAGTCCTCTGTCCTTTTGTGGCCTGGCACTCCTGCTGCTGTCTTCTCTAATTGTGCCGGATCGCTTTTCCTTTTCCTTATGTTTCGTTTTTCACCCCCCTCTTCTCCTATCTGCTTGTCGTTTCCTGCCGACCTTTTGCTTGTTTTGGTTATTCCATTGGACTTCTTCTATTTTGACGCCCGGGTGCTTGAGGAGGCATACTCTTGCACCCGTAGAACTGTAGTACCCGACGTCGAGAGCGAGGGGAACCTTTTATTGTCAATGTTGGGTGTCCTGCCTCTAATTGTGGCTCCATGGTGGGTATGGGGGCACATTCGTGGCTGAATTTATCACTCTTCGTCTGTATGTCATTGAATGTTTCTGTTGTAACCTCTCGGGCTCGTGGGGTGGGCGACCAAGCCCCCGAGTCGGCCTGTCTTGGAAGACCGGGCTCTGTAGCCTCCGCTGCATTGGGCCCCGACCTTGCTCCTCCTTTGACTCTCCTGACTTCTTACCCCCAGCTCCCCTCCCTCCTCTGTGGTTGGGTCGAGCCTCAAGCCCCCAGTGGTGACCACTTCGTCCCCTGGTGCGGCTAAGTCTCTCGTTGTGACTACTGCGCCTTTTAACCCCTCTCTCTCTGGGGGTTCTCAACGCCGTCCGCGCCACGGCCGCACTCGCTCAATTCCTTCCCGTACTTATGCGTATCAAGCCTTGTTTGGTCCTGCTTCATGGGCCAAATACTTTGATCTCTTCCCTCTTGATTCTGCACCTCCTGACGAGTTCTCCCTCCATCGACATCTTGTTGATTCCGTGGATGCGTCTGTTACCTGCAACCCCACTCGTCTCGGTACACGTGTCATTGCTGCTCCTTCTCAGGATGCAGCTTCCCGCTTGGCTGCCTTATCCTGCCATGGCGAGATCCCTGTTCGGGTCTCAAAGAACGCTCAGTTGAATGCCAGTGTTGGCACTATTCTCCTCCTGCCCCATGTTGCGACAGGTGTTCGGAATCTGCAAAACTGCCACGATGACATTCGGCATATCCTTGATGCCCAGGGCCATTCTGTCCTCCGGGTTGACACGTTTACTCGTCCTCTTCGTGGTCGTCGCCGTCAACCCCTTCGGGTTGTGAAGATCACCTTTGATGGTAGGACCCTTCCACCCTCTGTCATTGTTGCTGGTGCCAGGTGCTCTGTCCAGGAGCATATTTCTTCTCCTCGGCTTTGTAACAAGTGCTGGGGGTTTGGACATGGTGCCCTCCGCTGCTCTGGGACTGTCTCTCTCTGTCCTTTGTGTGGGGGTGAAGGGTCACTCTAAGTCGGAGTGCACTTCTCCCCAGGCTCGCTGCCTCAACTGCGATGAGAGCCCATCCTACCTTCTCCCGTGCCTGTATCCATTACAAGCTTGAGGCAGCCGTTCTCAACTTGAAGCACCGGGAGCGTTTATCTTTTCCCGAGGCGAGGCGCCAGGGTCGCCGGCTCCCGCCTTATACTAACATCTCTTATGCTCGCGTGTTGCACTCTTCCTCTCCTCGTCCTTCCCACCTTCCTCAGACTCACAACCGTTTCTGGGCCTTGGACCCTGATACACCCAATGCCCCCTCCTCTGTTCCTTTGAGTTCTGTTCCGAAGGGTCCCCCTCCTGGTCCTCTGTCTGGGGTTCCACTTCTTTCTACCCGGTCTGTCATGTCTCCTGTGTCTTCTTCCTCGTCTCCCTCCGATCCTCCTCCCCATCCTTCTCCTCCATCTATTGACTCTCCCCGCTGCCTGTCGGTGCAGGCTGATGTCCATCTCTCTCCTAACGGCCGTCGTGTGTGCTCTCGTTCAGCTTGTCCTGTTGAGACGCTGGAATCCGTTGCCCGGTACGTAGTTGCTGGAACACCGGTCTCTTAAAAAGTCAGAAGCGTAAGCCTGGCTCCTCTCCTTCCTCCTCCCCGGCGGGTAAGGCGGCTTCGTTTTCTTCCTCGGCCCCTACTACTGGCTCTATTGCTCCTTCCCCTCCCATTTCAGTGGTTGCGCCCCCTGTTCCTGCTATGGAGGTTTCTTTGGCTCCTGCTTCACTCTCGGTTGCTGCCCCTGCTGAGGTGCGCTACCCTCTTTCTACTCCCCCTCTTCTTGCTGCTGTCCTTGACAGCTCCTTTCCGTTGTCTCCTCCTCTTCCTCCTCCTCCTCCTCCTCCTCCAGACCCTGCCCGTCCACCTCTGGTCTGTTCTCCCGCTTCCTTCCCTCCGTCTTTGCTCAGTTTACCCATGCCCCCTAACCCTGACTTTGCTGACCCTGATCCCGACCCTGATCTTCTTTAATGTGCTGTGTTGCTCTTTCGCCTTTGTTTCTTCCTTGTTCTCTGTTGTTGTCCTTTCTCTTCTCGTCGATGTCTATTCTTCAATGGAACTTTCGAGGTTATTACGCCAATTTCTACGAACTCCAACTTCTGATTTCGCGGTTTTCACCCCTTTGTGTCTGTCTCCAGGAGCCGATGCTTGGTGCTCGTTCTGGTCGTCTTCGTGGCTATTCCTTTCTCTCCCCCCCCAAGCCGTTGCTGGGCTCCTAATTCTTCTGCTCTCTTGATTCGCTCTGATGTTCCCTTTGTCCCCTTACTTTTTCCTTCACCTCTCCATTGTTCTGCTGCTCGTATCTTTGTAGGGAAATGGTACACAGTTTGTTCCATTTATCTCCTCCCGAGTGTCCCGCTTTCTCTTCCTGGTCTGAAACACCTCCAGGACTCCTTGCCGGAGCCTGTGCTCCTGCTGGGTGATTTCAATTGTCGTCATTCTCTTTGGGGTGATGTTCTGATGAATACCCGCGGTCACCTTCTTGAGCCGTTTATCCTCTCTTCTTCCCTGTCTCTTCTGAATTCGGGTGAGCCCACTCATTTGGACTCTCGGACTCGCACCCTTTCCTGTCTTGATCTTTCTCTTTG